TTAGTATATATATATATATATATATATATATATATATATATATATATATATAAATTTATATTTTTATATATTTTTATATATTTATAAAAAATATATATATTTATATATTTATACTTAAATAGCTATCTTTTTTTTATTAAATTATAAAATCTGCATAAAAAGGATAATTTACAACTACATTTTTTTATACATCTGGAAATATTTATTAAATAATAGATTATGTTCTTTTTTTTAAATCAGATTCATTAACAAAATTTTAAAAAATATCACTATAAATAATTTTTTTCAATAAATTTTCATCGTTTATTGCATAAAGATCATTATAAATACTTTTAAATTTACTTATTTTAATTTTTCCTTATGTCTAAATATTTAATTAATCTTATAAATTTTTAATATAATCTTTATTATAAATAATTAAACGTTAAAAATAATCCATAAAAACACAATTTGTTTAATATTTAGATTCTAATTATAATTATTATTTTTTGTAAAAAAATATGTATAGATATATACATATTTATACCTAAAACTAATTTTCCAGAATTCAAATTTTAAATTTTTTATTCCATTTTTTATAAATAAAACAAAGGTGTTTTGTTTTCAGTTGATTATTCATTAAAAAAATCATTCATAAAATTTTATAATTAATCAATATATTTTTAAGTATTATCATTTTAATATTAAAATTCATATTTTTATTTCAAATATAAATGAGAAGCTATAAATTTTTCAGCTAAATTAGGTAATAAACAATAAGGTTCCATTATTTAATAAATATAATTTGATTTTAACCATTAAATAATTACTCTATTAAATCTAAAATAAATTAAAATATATATATATATAAAAATATATATATATATTTATATATTAATATATTTATATATTTATATATTTATATTTTTTTACCCTTCTTCATTTTCTAATAAGTATAAGAATTATGGGATTTACATTATTAAATTTAAAATATATATTATTTAATAATAATTTTTATACTAAACATTATTTTTAGGATATAGATAATCAAGAAATTTTTATTCTTTTAAATATTTAATAATTTCGTTTTACTTTTCACTTACTTATTAATTATTTTCTTCTTCGTTTTAAAAATCTCCAAAAAATTATTTATTTTCATATTCTTCATAATTATCTTATTAATTTTAATCACCTTTTGTTTATTTTTAGAAAAAATTAAATTACTATCTTGATATTTAAACTTTTTGTTAAACTTTTTATAATTAAAAATGATCTAATTAATTTTATAAATGATATCTTAATAATCTTTTATAATCAATTAAAATTTATTTAAATATTAAATTAGCAGATTCGTTATTTATTTATCTATTTATTATTTCCTTTTTTATTATATATATTTATATTCAACAATTTGTATAATTTTTTATATATTTAAATATTACTTTTTATTAATTTAAAATTTCTTAATAATTAAGATATACATATGCACTTAATTTAGTATAACTATTAAAAATTTAATTTTCTATTTACTCTTCATATATTTTATATTATAAGTTTAAATTTTTTATATTATTTCTTATATGTTAGAAATTTTCGTCTAGATAATACTGGTATGCGTAATTATATTTACATAAATATCCGAAAATCAATCTACTATCTTATTTTTCTGAAAAATCTCTATTTATTTATTATAAACCTATTAAACATAATAATTTTTCTATTTATTAAAATTAATTCTTTTAAAATTATCGATTTATTATATTAATCATTTTTTATTAAAATCCCTTTTAAATAATTTTATATCGTTTTTATAAAAAAAAATATATATTAAAATTATAAATAATATAAAAATTAAGAATAAATAAAATATAGTATTAATATTTATATAAATAATCTTATGTCAATATAAATAAATTAAATAATAATGAAATATATATATATATAAAAATAATTAAAAATAAATATTGTATAATTAATAAACGCAATCAATTTAATTATTGCAATTTTTTAAAAAAATATAAAAGAAATAAACAATAAATAATTAGAAATTTTAAAAATATTATAATCTGTATAAAATATATATAAAATGATATACATAAATATATATATATATATATATATATATATATTATATATATAAATTTATTTACTTTATCTAATTTTAAATTGCAATATTTACCTATATATTTTTCTTAATTTAATCTTTTATCTAATCTTTTTTTATTTGTTAATATAAATATAAATATTTTTAATAGTTTTACAAAGAAATATATATTTCTTAACATCTTATGATTTATTATTTATTAAAAAAATTAGGTATACTTTTCATCATACCTATATCAATATATTAATTATTTTTCAATAAACTAATATCTTAATCTATATTAGCTAATTTTTATAAATGCTTTTTTTAAATTTATAAGTTTAATTCTAAAAATTTTTATTTTTACAATTTCAGATAATTCATATATGATTTCCTAAGTTAAATTTTTTTCTTTAAATTCATTCGACAAGCAATCTATAATTATACTTAATTATTTTGAATATTAACACATTTAATCAATATTCAATTTATTAATATAATTTTTTATAAAATCTAAATCATTTTTTTAATAGAATTAGAGAAATTCTTCTATAAATTCTAATTTAATTTTATTTTCTAAAATAGATATTGCTATAATCTTTTATTATTACAAATGATCATAATTATAAAAATAATTATTGGTACACTAAAGTATATATAAATTTAAAATACTGTTTTCTATTTTTTATTTAATTGAAAATTCGCATAATTTCATAGCCTAATTTTCATCTATAAAAAATTAATTTTCATTTATTCTTTTTACTATCTCAGATAATAAAATTGATACATTTACCTATTTTAAATTTGTCTGAAGCATTGATATAATATCATCATTATTAAATGTATTATAGTTATATTTTATATAATTTTATAAATTTTCATTATATTCAGTTTTAATTGTTCGTGATATATCAACTTTTAATTATTCGCTTTTCGCAAAAAATTTCATCCATTTGCTTTATTATTATTATAAAAATGGCTGTTTGTCATTATTTTAGATTCCGTTTTCTGTTTACAGTGTGTTTAAAACTAATTTAGTATTATTACTAAAATAATATTTGGATAATCTTTTCTATAATTAAATCATTTTTTATATAATTTTGAATATTAACTATTTTTATCTTTTTTTTTTTTTGTTTATAAATAAAATTATATAATATTTTTATTCTTAAATTAAAATCTAATTTAATCTTTAATTAATAGTATAAAAAATTAAATATAAAATATAATTTTTTTTTTTTTTATCAATAATATTAAAAAAATTTAATATAAATACAATATAAAATAAATTATATTTAAAATAAAAAAAAAACATAAATACAATAATATTTATTTACAATTTAAATTATATATATATATATATTTATTATTAATTTATATTTATTAAAAAAAGAAATATAATATATTTTTTTAAATATTAAATAAAAACAATAAAATGGATAAAAATTTAAATGATATAAAATAAGGCTTTTTTAATTTAAAAAAAATGTTTTTAGGTTCAAAAAATTAATAATAAAACTCCAAGCCAACTGAAAACATATAAAATACATAAAAAGAAGAAATATAAGTAAAAGAAAACGAAGAATAAATTGAAAGATTTACAGAAATATTATAATAATAAATTTAAGCAAAATTAAGAATTAGTAAATATTTAAATATAAAAAAATATTTTTTTAATTTTCAAAAATATTTATAGCTTTCTAAACACTTTTAAGGTGGTATTTACTTATCATAAATGAACCAACATTAGGCTTATATTATATTCAAGAACATAATAAAAATGCTTTATTAAATATAATTAAAGAAAAAGTAATTTTTTTTAAAAAAAAAACTAATTTATTTATATAATTATATTAGCATTCATTAAATAAAACTAATAAAAAACTTGAATTTACAACTGAATAATTACATAATACTAAAAAAGAATTAAAAGAAATATCAGAGCTAAATTAAGAATGGGCAAAAAACATATAAAGTTATATTGATAAACTTGAAAATCTTGTCTGAAATAAGCTTTTTATAATAATATTTTATATATATTATAAATATAAAATATATACACTAAAGTGCACCCACACTCAAACCCTAAAGTTTTTGTACAAAAGTAATAAAATAATAATTTTTCAAAAAAAGCTAAAATAGCTAATGGGTAAAAAAAATATATATAATTATAAAATATATTATAAAGTTAAGATATTTAAATATTTTTATCTCTAAAAAATAACTTTTTATTATTTAATAATTGTTTATTTAAAGACAAATAAAATAAATATAAATTGTATTTTATTTTAATATAATATATGATAATAGATAGATTAATATAAAATTATAGCAATTATATATATATTAAAAATGCAAAAATGTATAATAAAATTATCAATATTTATATATATTATAAAAAAATATCTTAAACACAATTACCATAAATATAAAATTTTTAAAAAAAAAATATATATATATATGAAAATATAATATTAATTTTGTATTTATAATAAAGATTTACATAAATACATTATATATAAAAATATAAGCAATATATAAAATAATAAAACAAAAATATAAAATAAATAAAAAAAATTGAATACATTTTTATAAATATTAACAATATTAATCCTTTCACAAACATTAATAGCTGACTAACATGCTGACTGTTAAATTAGCTGTTATAAAGCCTACGATTAAGACTTTCTTAAATGTTCAAAATACGACTAAGAATGTTTACATGCTGCCTCCTCTAAATAAATAGGCTGTCTAGAAATATGCAGCAATGCTAAAAATTAGGGAAGAGAACTTACTCCTTACGAAAAATGCTAATCTTAATGTCAATAAGTATTAGTTAACTGTGCTAATAAATGTAATAGTATTGGCTGTTTAAAGTAATGCAACTAACCTTATAGAAATTGTGAATTAGCTTGCTAAAAAGTTGAAAAAATAAGAAAATATGATAAATCATGTTCAGGAAACTGTTAATATAAACACGATTAATGCTCTTCTTTATGCAAACCTTAAGATAAAGTGTGCTTAGGAAAATGTAATACAGAAATGATGGGATGTGGTGAATCGTGTAGACATGTATTAAAATTATCCCCTGAACCTACTTAATTCGAATAATGCTAATAAAAATGTCAATTAATAGAAGGTGATTGTGTTAATAAATGTACTGATAATGACTGTGTGTAGAAATGTAATGAACCATTTATTTAATGCGTTGGAGTTTGCTAAAAATAAGAAAAAATGAGAGAATACGATATACAATGTTTAGGAAACTGCTAATATTAATATAATTAATGTATTTCTAAATGCAATCCTAAAGATAAGAAATGCTAAGGAAAATGTAATATAGAAATGATGGGATGTGGTGAATCCTGTAGACATGTTTAAATATAATACACTGAATCTACTAAATTCGAATAATGCTAATAATAATGCTAAGTAAGTTAATTGTAATGCTTTAATAATTGCACTAATTAAGACTGTGTAAATAAATGCTACTATCCATCCACTTAATGCGTAGAAAAATGCAACAAATAAGAATATATGGACTAATATGACCCTACATGTCAATCTGGCTGCAACTCTAAACTCAAATAATGCACCTTAAAATGCACTGACAATGATTGTGTAAATACCTGTTATGTCTAATATAGATTCTGCGGAAAATAATGTAGATATACCATTACAAAAAGCAATAATTCATAAAGTTGGGATGAAAAATGCCAATAGGATTGTTAAAATGCTTACAATAAATGTATAAGTTAATGTGAAGATGATGAATGTTTAAGAACCTGCGGAGGTATGAAAAGAGGTTGTGGAGAAATGTGTAGACATGTAATTTTAAATGAAAGTAGGAAAGAATAAAAAAGTACAGTTAAGTATATGATTAAATGTTAATTATATAAATATATATGTGATATTAAGTGTTATATTAAAAATGAAGATTGCTACAAATCTTGTAGTGATCAATAAGAATAATGTTAAAGTGAAGATATTTAGTGAGAATAAAATTAAGTTTATTGATTTTTTATATTATTATTATAAGCTTTTTTATTAAAATAATATTTAATTAAATTTGCTTTTTTATTATTTTAAACAAAACATATTTTATTATTTATATAAATATTTAATCTTCTTTATATTATATAAATTATAATTATTTATCTTTTATATTTTATATAGAAATTTATTTATTATTACATATATTTTTATATTAAATATTAAAATTCGAAAAATCAATTACAAATAGATTTATTATATTACAGTTTTTTTTTTTTCCAGAATCATTTTTAACTTTTTAATTTTATATGATTATATACATAAAATATTAACTAAGTTTTTATTTTAAATTAGATTTTAGATAATTATAATACACTGCATTTTTAAAAATATTTTAAGTATTTACATTTTATTATTTATTTTATTAAAATAAGTTATCTTACTCATTTTATTATTTTAAAATATAAAAAAAATCTATACTTGTTTCATTTAAAATATAATTCTTTACAAAAATTTCTTATTATTTATTATAATTAAATGATATATAATAAAGATATTGAATTTTTGTTTATTAAAATGCTTAATTTTTCATTTATGTTGAACATAGAATCATTTAAAAAAAATATATATATATATATATTATGTTTCATTTGTAAATATAAATATAATATATAAAATAAATTTTAATTAATTATTAATTTTTATAATTTTTATTTTAATAAAAAAAAATATAATTAAATAAAATGCATTTTTATTTATATAAATAATTTAAAAAATTAATTTAATAAAGAAATTTATTTTAGGAAATAATATACATATCTGTTATAGAATGATTTTTATAAAATTTAAATAAATAAATTTAAGGAAAATAGTATAATGAGTATTAAAGATTATGAAACTAGTATTATGCAATTAACTGAATCGCTTAAAAAAGATGAATAATCAAGAAGTTCATATAAAAAAAACGATTAAAGTTAAATAATAGATTTATTTATTTATTGTTAATAAAAATTAGACTAAGTAATTATGATTAATAAAACTTTAAAAAAATTTATTTTTTATCAAAAAAAAAATAAAAAAAAAGAATTCTATTAAAGATCTAATAAAAGTAATACCTTTAGATGAAACTTAGAATGAAATACAATAAATATAATAATAGTTTTTAATTTAATTTATAAAATAAATAATAAATTATTTAATAAAATCTAAAATGGAACTAGAATAAATTATTGAAAATAATAAAAATAAAATATCAAAGAATAATAAATAAGAATAAATTTTTAAAGAAATTAACTAAGAATATGAAAAAAAAAGCAATCAAATATAATAATTCTAGTAATAATAATAATATAATAAAATATAATAATAATAATAATAATAATAATAATAATAATAATAATAACCTTAATAATAATAATAACTTTAATAATAACAATAATAATGTTATTAAATAAAAAATGCTTAAGAATTTATAAGTCTTTTAAATAAATAAATAAAATTGTTCCAGTAAAACAATGCAAAATAAAAATAGTAATTATAGGTAAATATAAATAAACATTTTAAATTAATATTTATATATTATTTTTTTTAAAATAAAATAAATTTAGATTTAAAATTTATGGATTAAATAACTTATTTAAAAATTAAATTAGAAAAATAATAATTTGTAAAAAAATTAAGAAATTTAATTTGATTTAAATCAAAGTAGAACTAAAAGATGCTATAGTAGTAATTAAATAATGAATAAAGAAAAAATAATATAATGTAGAAAATAAAAAAATATTTTGCGATCTGAAATATAATAAATTTATAATAATAGATAAGAATTAAAGAAATAAGAATAATTGTCATAAAAATAGATTTTGAAAAATATTTAAATTAATAATAGATATCCTTCAAATTTTAAAAATATTTTAATTATTTAAAAATAAAAGTAAAAATAAAGACATATCAACTTTGTTAATAAAAAAATCAAAAAATATAAACATTAATACAATATTAAAAATGAAAAAAATAAATTTTTCAGATAATAAAAAGAAATTATAAGCAAAAGTGAAGATTCAAACTAATTATAAAATATATAAAACTTATAAAATAAATGAAAAAATAAAAAAAAATACTATAATTATGTATAAAGAATTTTGGTATACATTAAAAAAACTTAAATTAAATATGTATATAAATATATAAATATTATAAATATATATATATATATTATTAATATTTATAATAATACTTAATATTTTAATCATATGTATATATAAAAATTTAATTTTTTTATTTTTAATTTATTTATCTATTTATCTTTATAAATTAATTAATTTCAATATTTGCTAAAAATATATTTTATATTTTAATATTTTAATTTTCATATAAAAAAAATATATTAAAGATTAAATATCAATGTCTATTGAAACTAATAATATTTTAGTAAAATCTACCCTATAAAATCCTTAAATTTTATTTTAATAGAAATAAAAATGTCTGTTATAAAAGAAGTATTTCGTGCTGAAATACGAAAAAATAAAATAAACAAATTCTTTAATCTAAAAGGGCTAAATTATTTAGTTAATCATCTTTAGAACCAAACGTAAAAAATATAAAATTAATATTAAAAAAATAAAAATAAAAATAAAAATAATAAAAAAAGTCAAAAGCTCAATGTCAATAATACATTTCATAATTTTTTGTATATGAAGCTTAAGAGAATATTGAAAAAGTATAAGAAATAGTAGGACAATTAAAATTATTTTCTTCAGATATTTAAATACAAGAAATTTTTTTTTAATCAGATATTTTGAAATATATATGTGAATTAATGAATTAATAATTTTTTAAATATCCCTAATTATAGATAGACGCTTGTTGTATATTAATTAATGCATCATGTAATGAACAATTTAACTTATTAAAATATTAAAATTAAAAGACTTTAATTTAAAATTTAATAAATATAATATAAGAATCATCAAATGAAGAGCTTATATAGACAGTAATTTTTTTATTTTTTTCTTATTAAATAAATTAAAAAATAAAAATAAAAAAAAGATATTTTGGCTTATAAGTAATTTAGCTGGCGATTATAATTATTGCCAAACAATTTTTGACTTATAAATAATTTAATAAATAAATATTATATTATAAAAGCAAAATAATTAAAATGAATAAATTATAATTTAAATGACTTATACATTATTAAATATTGTTAATTTTATATAAATAGATGAAATACCAACAGTAAAGAAAAAAATATATATATATATATATAATTATTGTATTTATATAAAAAAAAAGATAAATATTATTATGAATATTATTTAATAATTTACTAATCATAAAAACGATTATATAATATTAAATATTTTAAATATATTTAGTAAATTAATAAGAAATATCCAAAATATTTAGTAATTAAATGAACTTTCGAAATCTAAAATAATGGAATTAATGTATTTAATTTTAAATAATAAAACCTTATATTATATTGAACCTATATTTGAAATATTAAGACACTATATATAAATGGATAAAGATTATATACCAACTTTTATAAGTAAAGGTTTAAATCAAATAATATCAAGTACATTATAATCGAAAATAAAGAGTGTGAGAAAATAAGGCGTTTTACTAATAAGTACAATTATTAGTACTGGCATAATGGGAATTGATGAAATTTTAAATGATAATTAAATCATTATTTAAATTTAAAATTTACTATATTATGATATTTATGATATTAAATCTATTCTTCTAAATTCTTATGATAAATGCTTAAAAATTGCAAATAATAATTAATTTAAATTAATTTTGGGTTAAAATATTATTTAGGTCTTGTAAAAAGTTATGAATAATTAAAATGATGAAAATTTGTTGATTTCTTCCTTAAATATTATTAGATAATTACTTTATTGGAGTTAATAAAATAATGATAGTACTATATTGGAACATATTTAAAAAACTAATATAATGGATATAATTTAAAAATTATAGGAACATAAAAGTGATGAAGTATATAATAAAGCTTTTAATATAATTGATGATTTTTTTGAAAATAATTAAGAGAATTGAAATTTTAAAATATAAAAATAATATTAATTAATTAGGTTTTTATTTATTTATAGAAAAAAATAAATATTTAAATGTTTTAAAATTTATTAAAAAAATTTTTAAAAATGTAAAAACAATTATTTTTTTATAATATAATTTTAAATTAAAATTAATTTTAAATAATAATAAATATAATTTTTTTATTTATATATAAAAAATACTAAACAAAATAAAATGAAATTAATTATATATAAAAATATATTAATTTATACTTTAATTAATATTAATTAAAATTATTATTTATATATAAAATAATATATAATTTGATTATATATTTATTTATATTTGTAAATAAATGAATTTCTATAAATATATATAGAGAAAATTAATATATATTAAATTATTAATATTTTAATTATTATTAATAAATGAATACTTTAATTATAAAATTAATTATAAATTAAAAAAAAACAATTCATATATAATCATCTAAATTTGAATATATATAATATTTTTTATTATTAAATATATATATTTATAAATTTAATATACTTTATTTAAATATAGATTAATTTAATTATTCAAGTAAAAAATAAAATATAACAAATAATTAGAGATATGTAATATATATTTATAATAAGAAAATTGTATATTATATATTAATTTTAAAATTTTAAATTTATATTTTAATTAAAATAAATGAAAGCAATTATATATAAAATTATATATTAAATTAAGAATTCTTATATAAATAATATATTTAATAATTTATAATATATTCTTTTCTAATAATATAAAATTTTTTAATAAAAAATAAATAATATTTTTAATATTTTATATATAAAAAAATATTAAAATATATATATATACATATTTATTTTATCATTATTTTCATATATATTTTTTTATATATAATTTTTTTTATTTTTTTATAATAATTTTTTTTTTTTTTTTTTTTTCATCTTTTTTTTTTATATATTTTAAATATTTATATTTATATATTTTTTTCCATATATTTAAATTATTTGTATTATTAATTTTTGCATATTTATATTTAATTAC